CAGATGTTCAGGTTCCCCGGTGTAATTAAATAGTAACGGAGAAACAATTTATACAAGTCAGCAATTAATTCTATTATCTTATCTCTTCCGTTAGCTATTTTTGTGTAGATATTTCAAGCTCCGCGGAGAGGAGAGCGAGGGTTTGCGCCCAAGTGCGTTGGCGTGGCAGCGCGGAGACGGGGGGCGCAAGGGGCGAGATTGGCTGGAGAAAATTTAGTCATTCTTAAATATAATTGGCTTGTACCGATTATTGCCGTTCGCTGCGCCTCTCGGAGCCTGTGTGCGTACACTTTCACGCGGATTCGTGCACGAAAGACACGCTCGCGCTATTGTGGAGAATAATGCGTCCCGCCCTGACCATGAGGCAAACACGAGTGAGTGCAACGGCGCGTAGGGTGTGCACGCAGCCGTGATGTTACATTAATGTGCGCGCGTGTGCGTGCGCGTGTGTGCGCGCGCGTGTGTGCCTGAGCGGACGACACACGTGCTCGCGAGTCCCTGAGCGAAAGAGACCGCTCGTATTGTAACGCACACCGCGGAGCTCCCACAATCGGTACACAGTCCGTCTGAAGTTTGTACACGGTGGCCTAACAAAAGCATCGCTTGTCTTCTCTTCAACTTACGTCCCCCAGATTCGTGAAATGAATGAAAACGGAATTACGTTCGAGACTTTTGAATCCGTACACAGTCCGTCTGAAGTTTGTACGCCGGTGGCCTGACAAAAGCGTCGCCGTCTTCTCTTTAATTTACGCCCCCCCAGATTTATGAAATAAATTTAAAAAAAAAATTACGTTCGAGATCTTTGAATCGATACGAATTATTCGACAAAAATCCATCCCGAGTTTACATTTTGAGCGTTTGAGAGCGAGAAATAATATATCTTGTTACTTTCGATTAATTAAAATTGCAGCATAACTCGCGACTCTCAAATAGTCAATTACTCGCGCAACTATGAGATCTCCGATGTTATATTCAGAAATAATTGCTTCTCATACATTTTGTAAAGACATTTAATATAGAAAGATATACATTGTGGACGATACATCGTACGCAGTATTAAAACATTGATATGATCAAAGGCTTAATAGACAAGCTTGATAAAGCGAACATTCATTATTAAAGAATTACAATGCATAATTCATTTTTTTAATTTTGAAGTATACGAATCTACAGTTTAATATTGACAAATATTGTAAAAGTTTTATTTTAAAACAGAGGAACGGAAATTCCTGGAATGCTTTACTTAAAAAAAAAAAAGACTTTCAACCCGATTCGGCTGGATACAAGTAAGCATTTCGTTCGGCGTCACCAAGTATGCACAGGTATCAAGAGAGCCGCGCACGTGTAGTGTACACGCACACGCGTGTGACGCCTAACACACGACAACGTGAACGTGAAGCCCGAGAGGGCCTTTCAGTCCACGCCGAGACCGCGCGCAGTGTAGACCCCGCGATTTCCGAAACGGAGACTCTCGGCCGTCACGATCGAAGAAACGGAGAACAGTTTCGCGTCGTCGAACGCGAAGGACCGAAGGACGACCGATGACCCTGACCAATCCTGCGATGCGCTCGGCCGACCGGCGACTTTTCCGCGGATCGAGATGCCGGCATGCGTCATCAGTTTCTTTTACTTCTACGCCGAATTGCTGCGCCTGGAGCTGCGAATGATACAGAACTACAGTCTTTCCAAATTTGTTGCATGAAGTTGTTGAGGCTTTAAAAAATATCAAGGAAGAAGGAATAACCGTGAAAAACCATGCCGCGGCGCGCTGGCCAAAATAATTCTGCATCCGTAAGGATGGTGTCTTCCTGAAGCACCGAATCCGAGGATTAGTTCAATCGTTGTCGGAGAAAAATTGGATTCTTAAAATTTCTCTTTTACGAGACAATTATTCGAGCGGAACTCGCAGAATTTGCTCCTATTAAGGATGCTGCGTCGAGACAGGGGAGATTTAAATTTCCGATGTTATCTGCAACGGCGGGGTTTGAGTCCCCACAATCCGCGTGATCGATACTGATTTGCATGGAATTCCGTGGACGCCGGGTAGGCGTTAATTGCGTTCTTCCTAAGGAAGCTTTATTAACGGAACTGTCTTGTTCCGGGATTGAACCGCCTTATCGATCCTGCATTAGATTATGCCGGAGACAAAGACGTTGGAACACAATCAACGTAACAGTGATAGTGCGAATTAAATGAACGTAGCAGAAAATGCGCGAAGAGAAACTCTCAAGGATACACAAAAGAAGTGTCGAGAACCAAGTGCCAAGAGGTGTAAGACTTTCAATAGCGACGTATCCATTTTCTCTGAAAAACTGAAAAAATTTTACCGATAAGTTAACAATTATTTCTTTTATTTATTAAGCGCCGCTACAGAGCACTTCACTTTCAACCTCGTTGTTTCTCGACGAAACAATTCCGGGTTAAGCAAAGCTCGAGTGATACCACGCGGGTCAAGCTGTGTCCACTTTGTGTTAAGCGTTCCAGGAATTTTCGTACCTGGAATAGAGGTGTTTCGCGTGTAAGACTCCGTTCCAAGTGATATTCACTTCGTGGAAGCTTGTCAAGGCTTCTCGGATTTCGGAGTTTCGTCACGTTGATACCCGGTGTTATGAAGTACCTCGAAGAGGATATAAAAATTTGGTAGCGGCGTCAAAGCCGGTGTTACAATCTCTCATCGTGCGTTGCGAGCTGACGCTAACGAAGCAGCCAATTAGGCATCTCATCGGTGCATGATTCTCTCTCTCTATATATATACACATATATAAATATATATATATATAAGGTGGCCGAAAGAGAGTGTATCGGCGAGCGCAACGTCCGGTCGACGCGGCGCAACGAAAAAGCCTGGTAAAATCGGGCGCATCCGGAGATACGAGAAGTGAAAGTGCATTTTGCACAAGATGACGGTAGCCCCGGGATAACGGCGACCGCGGCAGCCGGCATCAGTACATCGTAGCGACGAGCTACGGCGTCATCGCGACGGTAGGCTCGGGCAGGCCGCGAGCTGGTTTTTTAATAGCCGCGTTAATTCGCGAAGCTCGCCAAACTCCACCGGAAAGTTCGTCATCGTCTTTAATAATTCATGAAACCGTGACGGTGCGCGTGAGCGCGCGCGGCGCGACGCGCGTTATGCTCCGGTTTCCTCCAAGGCCGCCGCCGCCGAGGGTGCGTCGAGGGCGCGGAAGAAGGAAGTAGGGTTCGACCCCGCGGAACTGATGTTATCTCGCGGCTGCTCTCGTCGTCTTCCGGCCACGTGGATGCTGCGGGGAGGACATGGAGACTATATTGAATTGTAATTACAGATTGGATTACACGGTGGCTTGCGATGGCAGATGCCATTGGTAGAATGTGCGCGACGGAATGAGGAATTGACGTTCGGAGCTGCCGTAATTGGCGTGACGGGGGTAAACCGCGTGACAGAGATGCTTTTAAGTCGCTTTCTTGACAGTTCCACGATGATTTTATACGTTTATGAGCTGACGCGATAGGCATTTGAATTTTCTCACTCTGGAGCAGTAGAAACCCAGATAGCACACTGAATTCACTAAGTATTCTTTAAGTTTTCTTTTTTCTGAATTGTAATTCTTTAGGAATTCATAGAAGAATACAATAAGAGTGACAGAGGAAGTTACATGCACCATAAATCGTTTTCCTGACAACTTCTTAAAGTATTCATCTCGAATTCAATAAATGTAAACTTTGTGAATTCAAGGGGAATAGTGTTAGAACAAAGAGGATTACAAAATATTTACCCAATGTATGTACACACCTAATATGCAGTAACATTACACCATTATTATAATTTCTCACTCAACAGTGAGATACTCTCAACCGAAGCTCGTTGACAATCGGATGATTCTTCCGTTTCGGTTCTCGTCGTTCGATCCTTTACACAATAGAACTATTGCACAAAATTAATTGCACATAACGTTACGCACACAAAATATTGCACGTGGTAACACGCTGCACAAGAACGTCCGGATGACGATTAGCGGATACTCGCGCATGATACTGAATCGCGAAGTATTCATTATAATGAACTTCAGAAGAATACTTCAAGACGAACTGATTGAGACTAATTCTTCAAGAATTCTTCAGATATTCATTTTTCTAATTCTGCATGTTTTCTTTAAAATGAATTCTCTATGAACTTATGTTCATCTTTGTGCTCATTTTCTAAATTCTCCTTTAAAAAGCGGAAACTTCTGAATAGCTAATCTCGTTTTGGGTTAATCGTGTTAGACTTGGACACTTGGAATTTTTTAATCGACATTAATATTAATACTTAAATACCACTTAAGATATAATAATATGAAAGAAGCAACGTGAACAAATTTTCTCTACGATGTGCATAATTCGAAACAAATAACGGAAAGAAAAGATACACCGCTTCGCTTCGATATCATTAGGTTAAAAAAAGATCTTATAATATTCTCTCGGTTGAATATTTAAAATATGAATAACAAAGAGTAGCCATGAAAAATCTCACGTTTCTGTGATCCATTGCGGAAATAAAAAAAGTAATTTTTATAGGGAATGTCAGTGATTGAAATATAGTCGCGAAATATAGTTATCGCTCGATATCTATCGAGTTGATTTATTTTGGAGCAGCAGTAATATAATACGTTCGAACGTCTATGATTACTACATACTTGGTATCTGTGCACGACTCATCGCACGCACGTTGTTTTGCTTTCTGATATAGTGTCCTATCGTTACCGTTACACTCATCTATACCGTGACGCGCCTTTTCGTCAGTCCCGGACTCGTTATCTGTGCGTAAATAGAAAGATGTCGTGCCACCTCGCGCAGGGGAGAGATAAGTGTTTCCGGTCGTTAAGGCCTGACGGCCGGGAAGCGGAACGGTGTGTTTTTCTTCCTCACTTTTCTTTATTTTTTCTTCCAAGGAACGATACTCCCGGCATTTTCGGTCGAGCGAGACCGAACGGTGCTGGTCCCGAGCGACGCGTTCGGAATGTATTTTGTGGTTCCCTTTTCAGACCTGAATCTGTGGAACAAGAGCATCAGTCAGCGCTGGCGGAAGCTGCGGCGAAGATGCTCCGTGCAGGAGTCGTCGGAGCCGCAGGAGGCGCTGATACAGGGTGGTGGAAATCACGGTGTTATACACGCGGTGAGATCGACGCCGGCCAGCAGAGAAGCCTCGCCGGCCGCGAAGAGTCTTCAAGATGGTAGCTCGCCGAAAAAACTGCTGCAAACTAGTTCCCTCAGGCTGCCAGGTGAATTTGAATCGAAACGCAATACCCTCGCGAAATTTAAATAAGACCTGATCTCGCTGGGATACCTCGTAACGCGTTTATTAAAGTTAGTTAAAACTGACGTGGCAACTATTAACCCTGCCGGAAATAATTCTACAAAATTCTACAAAAAAAATTAAATATAGCTGCCAGAATCTAAGAAATTCTACGTAAATTTAAAAAGTGTTATAAAAATCAACATAAAAATGCTAGAATTGGAACACTTTTGTTAATTTTTGTAATATTCTACAAGCAGATATTTTAATTCTTTAAGATTTCGTTGTTTCTCAAATTTTTTAAACTAGTTTTGTACTAATTTTTACAAAATTGTACATTTTCAGGAAATACTACTTGCAATAATTTCTTGATTTGAGAACATTGTAATTTGTGATACTATTTTATAGATATTTTTACAAAGAAATAAATGGTTCAACGAAGATATAAAATTTTCTACAAATTTCTATTTCAAGTCCATTTTTTGTAGTTATTTATAGAAATTTTTTCCACTAGGGAAAGTCAGATGTTGAAAATTGAATTTTATGTTAATGGAATACAAATTTCTTTCGCTTCTGGTGTACGCGAGGCCGGTTGTATCTCGCGCGAATGCTTTCTAACGAAGTACGTTTGCAGGTACGACGAAGGGTATCGCTGACATTCAGCATGTGCTGCGCAGTAAGTTCAGCAAGATAAACGCCGGCATCAGGAAGCGAAAGGCGCTCAGCGTGACGGAAGTGTTTCCCCCACAGAAGGATAATGCCTCGAATTTCTACGTACCGAGTCCGCTCACCCCGTCTTCCAGTCAGACCTTCGAGGACAATCGTTACGATTCGAGCGAGCCGGCGTCCCTGCCACCCTATCCCTTCCACGACAACCTGGAGACCTTGGCGGAGAGCAGCGTCCCGAACTCGCCTCGCTGCAACGGCAACAGCTTTACCTACTCCCAAGACGGCTACGAGCAGAAAGACGTTCTCTACGAGAACGTGATGTTCTCGAGGTCCTCGCCGTCGCCCTGCTGCCCGAGGACCCGGCCCGTTCTTCAACGCAGCAACTCGGAGAACCGCGAGACCAGCGCGCACGACCACTCTTACGAGAACGTGCGCTTTCAACGAGCTGGCGCTCACAGAGACGATCTGGCGTCGGGGAGTCCGTACGCGGGTCGACATCTGGCCAGAAGTAACTCCGAGACCAGGGAGCACTCGTACGAGAACGTGCACTTCCAGAACGCGAGGATCAGAAATCAGTCGGAGCCGTCGTTCGAGGAGATACACATACCCAGAGTGACGCCCAGAAAGAGGTCCACCGATTTTAAGGTCGGCGGACAGGTGAACAACTACTCAGGCGAGGTCACGCTCAATTCCGCTGGTGGCAAGGAGGATGCGCCTGCCAGTCTGGGTACGGAGAGAAGTTCCGGCAAGAGAAACCCGAAGAGGCTCAACAGTAGAAGCGTCGCGAACATCCCTAGCTCCTCGGGCGCAAACTTGAAGGCTTGGCAAGTGAGTAGATTCCGATAAAAAGAAAAGATTTCTAACGAACTTTCGTAAGCGTTAAATTTAAGTCGATGAAGATTTAATGGAGAGGCTAGACGTACGATTAAAATGTTAACTAAAGTTTTAACGATTGAAAATACAATATTTTTGGCTTGGTATTTAGTAGATATCAATTTTTTCTACGGCCTGACGGACAATGCAATTTTCTTTTTAGGGCACTCAAGACGCAGACGAGGGTCTGAATACCGATTCGGAGCTCGAGGATATCGATGAAGCTGCCGAAGGGGAGGAGTCGCGTTTTTGTACCTTGCCAAGACCCGGTAAGGGCGGGGCATCTTTTACGATACTGACCGCCAGATTTCTCAAGGGTCCCGGTCACAAGGGACTCGGTTTCAGTATCGTCGGCGGCACCGACAGTCCTCGCGGGAATATGGGGATTTATGTAAAAACTGTTTTCCCCAATGGTCAAGCTGCTGACTTAGGCACTGTCAAGGAAGGTAAAGCCGTATCTAAATTATCTCCTATCTAAATCTTTTCTAAAGTTCTCCAAACGAGACTCAGTCTTCATTGCATTCATTTAAAATGAGAACATTTCTTCTAAATAGTATTTTCTTGCTTTTTCCTTTGGAGCTTTTTATCCTCTTTTAATGATTATATTGTTGCTAAAGCAAATTCTATAAATTATTTTACATAATTATGTAAATGTAAAAATATTTTAAAATTGCTTATTGAAAATTACATTTCTGTGATAGTTGTTAAAGATTACTGTACACGACAGCTTGTTTTATTGTATTATAATATTTATTGTTGCTTCATCATGTTTTCAATTAAGATATGTATTTTATAAAATTCGCTGTATTTGTAGGGGACGAAATTTTGTCAATAAATTCGAAACCTCTTCACGGTATGACTCACGCCGAGGCGATCGCCGAATTCAAGTCCGTAAAGGCCGGGGACGTTGTTTTACACGTGGGACGTCGTGTGAATAAGAAGAAGAAAGAAACCTTGAGCCTGGCACCGGTTAATCCCTCCGTCTCGAGGCAACCTGTTACGTGAATTCGTGTAAAGAATGTCGTAATGTCGAACGATTTTTCTGTCTGCTGAAGTTTCGTGAATCTTTCATTCTCCAAGAGTATCTACACTACAGCAATATTAGTAATTATTGCTGGCAATAATATGCGAAAGATCGAGACAGACTGTGGTGCGACTTACCTCTGTTACTTAATCTTTGGTTCGTGACACGAAATTGCGTCAAGCTTGTATTTTAGAATTTAATTTTGCTTCTAGCTTTTTTGTGTTTCTTTCGATCAAAAATGAGAGAAAGTTGCGTATAAATAATTCCATACAATTAGGGTGATTCAGAACGTTGATAAATTTTTTTTAGCAAAAGTACAAAATAGTTTATTGATTGCTATACATATTTTAATACGGAAATTTGTGCTTCCTATCGATATTTTTTATAGTTTCTTCCAGTACCTTTTTTGTTGTTCTTAACATGAAAGTCGCGCCGAAATCTTTTTCTATAGTTTGATGCATTCTGTTAAATGCAGCTGAAAAACATGAAAACGCTGAAAACGTTTGTATCGCAATTTCAGAATTAGAATTAAGAGCGCAACGTTGAAGTTATTTGCATGTACTTGCGACTGCAACGAGTTTTGATAACATTATTACAAAGAGATACATCGACTCACGTTTATACATATCCGAAATAAGGATATGTTGGATCAGGAAAACGAAACGCGGCTACAATCACGATTTTCGTCATATTTTCTGAATATATAAGAATGATGAAAAGCTAATGATGCCCTTTTGATATATCACAGGAGAGCAAGTCGAAGAAAGCAAGGTCTCACTCTCACTTGACAAACATAATCAAATGGCGAACACTGTCGAATCAAAACGCGTTTTAGCACATTCACCGGTGACCGGCACTGAGCTTTCCGTTTACGTCTTGTCATGGACGATAGTCAAATAAATATATCTTGTGCAATTTAATACTATAAATTGAGTATTTTATTGTACTTTCGGATATCAAATAATCCAATTGGCGTGAACGGAAAGTCAGCTAAAATACGCTTAGCGGTGAGTGTGTTAATTGTACGGCCGAGCTATTCGGTATCCGCTATAATATTAAACATTAATATTTATCAATAAACTTATATTCATCTAACATTATCTATTAGAAACGTCGGTGTAACGAAGGATCGTTGAAGCTTTCGATTAAATCGCATTTTCTCACGTTTACTTATACACGAATACGGAAAATAAACGCGCTGAGAGAAATCCAGCTACTTACGAAACAGAACTTACCGAATATAACGCAACGAAGTCCTCCAGTTAGTAATTAACAGACAATTTATTTTTGTAAAGTGCGTGGAAATGTTCCGCGATTTTTGTACAGTTAATAACGAACAAAGCGACGTTTACTAACGTCGGCTTTATGCCGAATCAACGAGCGAACGGAATCGATCGTATCAATTGTACGTCAGAGATTATCGCTAATAGCCTAGCCGGGTAATATGTCATAGAATCATAAAAATCTAACTGTGTCCAAGGAAAAATTGCATGGATAACTAAAAGTGGCAAAAGGGCAGTCGAATCCTTCGTCTAATTTCTCTTCCGAATCTCTTATTAAATAATCTAGCTAGAATAACGGCAAACTTTTTTACATTTTTAATCGTTATACCAATCTTTTTTACTGTTGTAATGATAATAACTTTATAACAACGCTAATAGTAATTTCACAATAATCATAATTTAGTACACGAATTTATCGATACTTGAGGAATGCGTTGCCATTTTTATTTATTCTGCAATGCAGGTCCGTGCAATTAGGCACACGACAGAAAACCCAAAGCCCGAACTTTGTCGCAGAGTTAGGGAAGGAATTATTTTGTAACTATAGACTAACGAAGATCGTCCAAAGATGAAGCCCAAAAAATATTTTTACTACAAAGACGGAAACACGCATAGAGAAAGCGCATATCTATATATTATACATATACATATAGTATATATATATATATATATATATATTTTGATCGAGCGAGAACGCATTTACTTTAAGAGGAAGCAACATTATTAGTATCTAGTCGATTTGTAATATTTCCGTTTTTGAAAGCCCATTTTATAGTCACAACGACGAGAGGAAAAGAAGAGAAGAAATTTTTATAAATGCTTATATACAGATATACACGGTGATAAGCACACGCGATTTATATATTTCTTATATCCATTTCCCAAGGTGTAACTAATCGTATACTCGGTAGATTAATGAACTTAGGACTAGAACTTAGGATCGCCGCGCTAATTCGACAAAGGTAATGTATGCTCCGTACAATAAAACATTTTTAATTAAATAAGAAGAACTAATTTTCCTTCTTTTCATTTCCGTTTAACAAGTTTTATAATAAGTAAATAATGTGAAAGTTAATACGGATATAACATTTGCTTCTTGGCAAATAAAATCTCTGAATCTCCCGCGAAAATTCTGAAGGAATCAAGTGACACGGTAGTATGATGTCTTTTCCTCCCGTCTTCGCTGTTTCTACTCTATAGAAATTCGGTTTCGTGACAGTGTTCTGTCCTTCGTAATATTTAGAAAAATAGATTCTGTTTATTTATATAATTTTTTAATAGAAATTACGCTGGGCTTTATTATATAGAATTGTTTTAGATTATAATTTCGAGTAATGAAATACTAATGTTAATTAACGTGGATGTTAATTTTTTATGAGTAAACGTTGCAATGATTGAAGCAATTTAAAACACGAGTAAAATATATACATAAAAATATATTTAAATATTTCAGATACGAATACATTTATTTCAAAATAATTCGTTCCTAAAAATCTTCATAAACGATTCGAACAATTCTTCGTAAACGATATGATTTTGGTACAGATTTCAGCACGTTGAACTGCACTGTACTAGTTTTGCATGCGACGTGTTAATACTATGTGAATATTACATTACATCTCTATAAACAATTTCGAAATATTGAATTAAAAAAGTTATGTCTGTGCGGAGTATTTTGGTGTATCTTTGACCACGGTGTTCAACGTGCTGAGAGTGGACGATCGAAATGCGAGTTCCTTACGTTTTTCAAATTATCGACGTAAATTAATTACTCGGCATTGTCTGAGTATTACGTAAGGCGTGTCCTGAAGATCGCGTTGCGTAATTAAATAAGGTGTATGCGCGTAAGGCTGCGGCAAGGAGCGGCAATCAACGCTTGCTTTAATAATATGTAGCTAAAATGCCGCCGCTTTAATTGAGGCACAATTGCGCCGTAATTGTATGATTGCGCAATTAAATGGTGTCCCATTCGTCGCGGTAGGATGAGCGCTTTGGATGCCTTGCGACTTCCGAGATGAAAAATACAGGAATTCCTGGCATTCGGCTCGCTCGCTTTGCTCGTGGCTCCGATTCTTCATGGTCACGGTTTTATAAATCATGATTAAAGTTAAAACACATCGCGATCACAACTTAGTACTCGGTGCGATGCTATTAGCTCATCTCGTGTTGCGACGAGTACTCTTCGTCAAGGCAATGCAATTATTTACAAATATTCTAAAACACTAAAGGACGTCTCGTGGGCGGTTAAAAGACTGATGATGAATTGAAATATCTTTTAGCTACGCCTTTCAGACGCTTTACGAACATACGTATTGTTTCCTAAATTGACTAGGCTCCTATTATATTTACGCGCGAGAGGTTTGTGGCACGTTTTGTGGAAAAAAACATGAAATATGTGCTAGAGCTGCTCATCATTATGCTGCCTCGTAATTATCACACTTGTTCGTAATCATCACAGCCGGTTATACGTTTGCAGAACCAAATTACTAACAGCTCTCTTTCGGAATTATAGTTAACAAATGTGTGTGATCTGAGTATTTTCCTCATTATATTTCGCTTCTTGGCATTATTTTGTCGTCATTTTTCTCATTTGGTTTTGCGAGTCACTGCGAGTTACATAATGCTGTGAAGCAAAGTGTTTTTGAATTGTTTTGACAGCGCAAAGCACCCAATCCCGTAATAAAGAAATCGGGAATTGTTAAAAGTTCTCCACGCTACGTGAGTGTGTGTGTGTGTGTGTGTGTGTGTGTGTGTGTGTGTGTGTGTGTGTGTGTGTGTGTGTGTGTGTGTGTACGATATGTACGACTTGTATGTGTAAGATGATTTTAGTTCTATCTCAGATTTATGTCTCACTTATCCGACGCAGTACGCTTGGTTTATCCAGTATATAACAATAAAAGCTACCGCCAGGAGTACCGATCCGCTCAGATCACCTAATGCCGTCAAGTAGGGGATCGCCGAGTTGTCGGGATCGATTTTGTACCTCCACATTGCGTGAATAATTATGTGCGCGACGTACAACAGAATCATCACCTGAAGAAGAAAATAAATTTTGCTTCGTTTCCGCAGCTCAAAATCGAAGTAGTAATTCGTAACTCTGTGACTTACTTGTGTTACGGAAGCAACTAAATAAGAGATTACGAAGTAAACGTTTAACTTGCAATTTTCCGGATTTAAAGCGTCAGCGATGAATACGAAGATCAGCTGACCGGGGATCGCCATAGCGAGGAGCAATCTCGCGGTCTTGGCGTATGGCGCTGTTTATAAAGAAACATTTTTAGACATCGAGCATTTCATATTCTACTCGTAGTATTAAAAGTTTCAATATTAAAGGCTTAAAGAATGTGTTTCTTCTTCTAAATGAGGGATCGGCAAACTACTGCCCTCGTAATTATTATTCTATTTTAAACCACAGTAAAAAGTTTGCTTTCTCTTTTTTAAATAAGTATAATCCACGAGAGATATACGTCATTTTGTTTTCTGACCCGCAGAAAGCTTAAAATATTTATTACCTGATCCTTTACAGAAACAATTCGATCTTTTTCTAACTAAATGAGCAAGATCAATGTACGTAGACAATATGAAAAACTTAGATACGGGATTAGGGATATGTCTAAGATAATATAAATAAGTTTCGAACTGGGAAGAATTTTGAAACCAGTCTTGTAACTTTGAAAAAAATCCCCGAAAATAAATTGCATTTAGAGTATTTTCTTCCGTGAAATTATACGTACATCCTACGAAGAGTGCGGTCCACGGAAACACCCAAATTTTACCGTGCGGCGGTAAAATTCCCATGATAGAAGATTGATGCAACATGGTTGACATTCGAGACGCATGAACTGATACCAAGTTGCCGCCAATTCCGTTAATGACCGGTTGAAAGACTTCGGATCCTTTATAAGAGTCGATCATTCTTTCAAGAACTAATCCGCCTCCGCTGAAGACAAGATAGCGACAGAAATCAAATAAAAATACAATACGTGCGATATAATAATTAAATTGTAATTAGTTGGTGATATGGCGACTTAAAAATTAATAATTAAATTATTAACGCATTAATTTCTACCGCGTAAGAAAGAGGTTGATAAAGTTTCTCAGGAAACCGCGGCCTAAGAAAAATTAGAGTAAAAAAGAAGTTTGAGCTACTAACCCACTGATCAGAAGAGCAGACAGGATGGGGATCCAGCCGGATTTCAATACCTTCCTCGTGTATTTGTTTTTCAGCACAATTACAATCCAAATCGGCATAAGCACGAAAAACGACCCGAGAACGACGTACAGCACCCACACTTCTTTGTCCAGCCTAAGATAAAATTCCGATGCGATGGTGGAGAGAATGCTGATAGATACGACGTCGCCGATAGACGCGGCCAGCGGAGTCGCCAGATTGTCCGGGTTCAATTTGTATCGATAGGATAACATGATCACAGCGATCATGACAAAGTCTATGAAGAAGAGATAATTTTTTTTTACAATTTCAAGTTCTGCTTATTAAAATACATTTGAGTGCGCGTGTAACAAAGGAGAAATTCCAGGAGTATGCATTGTTAAACAACAAATTTGACAATTTATGAAAGTGAAGAAAGAAGAAGGTTACAACAAAATGACAAGAATTGTGTATAATTTAAAGAAACTGTAGTTTGCAATGAATATTAATAATGTTATAAACATATAGAGAAAGAGAATTTATATAGATTCATTGTTTTTACAATTAGCGAAGCTGCATCTGTTATAAAAATATCTAATAACGTATTTAACGATTACGCGATTAGATAATCCATTGCTGCTACTCTGCAGGCTAATGAAATACAGGACCCACATTTTATACATTAGAAATGACAATTAGAGATATATTATCGATAACACTTCAAACTTCATTAGAATGTCGCGAGCAAAAGAAATGAAGTGTTGACAATAGATAGCATAAATCAAGAATTTAGAACGTATAATGCATAAATGCATATAACATTTTTATCGAGAGCGTTCGAACGAAAAAATTTCCGCAACGGTAATAGAAAAATATCCACGGTACAAAAGAAGAAACATAGAACTGTAACGCGTGCATAAAAAAGTATTGTCTACATATCTTTATCATTTATGTTCTGCTATCGTGGATAAAGGAAATAATACCTGTTAACATAATGCATGCCTGAGTGTATCGCGAGCTGCTCTAGCAGTCGTCGCTAATGCTAATTGCTGACAAAACGGCGAATGGATATATAATAGATAATGGATATATAATGGATAAGAATATATAATATGGCTGCCATAATTCTCGACTATGATTGGTCAATTCGTTTACTGCTTACGTCTTATTGCTTAAGGCCGTTTGTGTGCCACGGCCCTAAAGGGCGTACGTTAGTCGATGTTTAAAGAGTATGCCGGCGAGAAGATGGCTTACCCAAGATGAAACAGGAACTGGTCGCCGTGCACATGCACGAGACCGCTAGCAGTATCGCGTGGTCCCACCTGAAGTCGTTCCCGTTGATCCAGCTCACCCCCATGCCGAACAACGACAGGCAGACGGCTGCGACGATTGCCTGGACCTGCACCAGAGCGATGTTCCCGACGATCATCTTGACGATCTCCCGTCGACTCTTCATGTTACCTAAATTCGCTTGGGTGCATAGCCGCGACGCCAAACACATATCGAGATTACCCTTCAGACCCTGAAGCGCCGTGGTCAAAATAAGTAACTGGGGGACGTGCACGAAAGCGGGCATGTTCTGAAATCAAATACACCGAGATTAGAATCTACACTGATCGATATAGTGTACGAAGTAGAATTATCATTGCTTTCAGCTGAAAAAGATATTTTTCGCTACCGCAGCTAATCATGGTTTGCTGAAAATATTTCGAGGGATGAATCGCTGACCAAAATCATGTACACCAATGCCTACCAATGCCCGGTGGGCATTACTTTATATTATTATTTTATCTTATCTTTATAATGCCCAAAGTAATGCCCCAAAAAATGCATAGTAATGATTAATACTTTACTTATTCTTATTATATATTATGATACACATATTGTTGATCAATTGACTCGTCGCAACCGTTCATTTTAGAGAAGAAATCTTCAAGATATTATGTATGAACCAGAGCGACAAGACTTGATTATTTTGCTCTCAGCTAATCGAATGATCGAGGATAAACTCTTGAGCAAAATGTACCGATCGCCCGCAATCTCCGTCTGAAATCTATACGAGATCGGTATTAAAAATGTAAACGACAATCAAGGTGCTTACGCAATCGTGTCGGTGTTAAGAACGACACCGTATTCTACATCGTTCGATAAAATGCATCGACAAATATTGAAGGAGACATTCAATTTCGACACTATCTCTGATAACAATGGATTATTCCTCTATCTCTTTCGAACGAATGCCTTTGGAGAATAACGTAGGAAAGTGATGAAAGAAAGAAGAATAATTGTGACATTTGGGTCTCTTCCACGATGTGGTCCTTTTTCGGAGCAAGCCCTTACCTTTGCGATGGTGAGGACACGACCGGCGCCGATGGTGCCCATACCAGCAATGAGAAAGGGCAGCGACACTTGCAAGATCGTGTGGTACCATTTTTCGTCTCTGACCGCCCTTTCGTCCCCGTGGCCACTTTGGTCCTTACCCCGCTCCGCATCAGGATCCAAGGTAGCGTTTGACGAAATCGTGACTATGGAGCTGCCACTGGAGAGAGATCCATTTCCGTTTACTCCGCCGGACGTATTTTTATTGTCCATTTTGTCACCACCGGGTGTCTTCAAGCCGGCTGTCGACGCATCGGTACATGTTAAGTAAAGTCCCACGCAACGGACAGTTGGGAATATTCAAGCGGAGTTCGCAATGGGTGTCCTAAATAATAACCACAGCTCAAATTCAGAGATACGATCTGCTTGAACGCGATAATTACTGGCTAGGCCATTTCGCGGTCAATCGTGTGAATCTTATCTGAAAATGAAGACGCGAAAAAAAACAAGGATTTCAACTGACGTCGCGCAACTCTTTTCAGGACTGTAATTAACTCGCGCAATTAAGACTTGCTCGGTTGATTTTACGCGAGACTTAAGGAAGGCTCACTGACGATCGGTCTCCTGGTGGCTGTCAACATTTCCGCGCGCCGTCATCCTCGTGTAAACAAACTCTCGTTCCGCAAAGGCACGTGAACGGCGCGACGCGATCACTGAACGAGTCTTCTCTCCGCGTCGATGTTATAAACCGGTGCGGCTCATGGCACCCTGAATTCTGGACGGTCGTGGACGGTCAGCGGGTAAAAATGGTCAGCGAGTTACTTCGCGTTGCGCCGTAATCATCGTAATCACCATTGCGTATCTTTCCCCACCGTAGCGCGAGCGATCTGTCGCACCGCGACGACGATTAGTTCGTTCGCTTCCTGTAGGTGCGAGGTAGACGCGAGTTTCGCGATGCGAAGCGACACAAACGGGCAACAATGATGCTATCGTTCGCCGATTATGCCGTCGGAATTTGCCAGGCTCCAATTGGTACCGGGTAAATTCCGTCATGTCAAGTGGTAATAGTCGTAATAAAATATATTTCATCAATGCCCGGTGAATCTACCAATACAGATTAACTTTAATCTCAGTTTAAAGTACTTCTTATCTTCTTCTGATTTGTAAAACTAGAAAAGGATATAAAGCAAGTTGAACGGATATTCAAGTTGAACTGCATTGGTTAACGGGCTTAATGTAAATTCTTTCCCTTCCTGCAGATAGCATGCATCTAAAAGACATCTTTAAGACGACATTAAGTTGCCTTTTAGAAATGCACGTCTAAAAGATGCCTTGAAGATATCTTTATGACGTCTTTTAGACACACATTGTTATCTGGGTTTTCTTGTTAAGAAATTTCTTTCCCTGTTCCACTATTAATTACTACAAAAATTCGTCCAAAGTTCGTCGAGATAAATTCGTTAATTCGTCAACAAATGCGTCATTCGTGTAATTTTCACGCTGACACGACATCGTTTAGTCTGCAGAAATACTAGGAACTATTTTCTGCCGAAGGCTACTGATTCAGTTTCGTGACTAGTCGTTATTTTAATAATAAAATTTACGCGCCACGCAACAAAAGAAGCAAACCGGAAGTAACGATGAGAAGGTCGACACGTGGTAGTCGACAAGGAAATTGCAAGTTTCAAGTACACGAAATTGTCGAACTTGCAAAATTTACTGAAATTGTTCCGGTAACTACTCCGGTAACTACTAAACTTATTCTTCGGTCTTCCATCGCTAATCGTACTTCGGAGCGGAATAAAGAGTTACGCCCTGTACAATGTACTCTTTGCGTATAGAAACATTCGCTTTTGTATAAGCAAATCAAAACGCTTTAAAAAATTCTTCGACAACGTACTATTGTACAGCGTATCATGCAATGTATTACAATGTATCAATTGGCAGAAATATTTTAAACGTACACGGAAAAATCGGCTAAGACAAAAATAATTAAAATTGAAATGTTGCCGTATAAATAATAGGGGCATCTATCATTGCTTGGCGTTGCAACATTCACTAAGTTTGCTGCACAAAACGCATATAGTTGTCTCCACTGCTTATCATTCCAACGTGGGTTTGACACAAACACAGCTGTCCTAAATATTACTATTTATTGGGGTTGTGCCAACCCTAATTTGACATGTGGTAACCATACCGGTCTCCCTGTGAGACTCTTTGCGTCTAGAAACATTCGGTTTTGTATAAGCAAATCAAAACGCTTTAAGAAATTCTTCGACAACGTACTATTGTGCAGCGTATCGTGTAATGTATTATATATTATATTACAATGTATCAATTTGCAGAAATGTTTTAAACGTACACGGAAAGACCAGCTAAGGCAAAAATAACTAAAATTAAAATGTTGCCGTATAAATGGTGGAGGCATCTACATTGTTTTGCGTTGCAACATTCACTAAGTTTGCTGCACAAAACGCATACAGTTGCCTCCACTATTTGTCATACCAATGTGGGTCTGACAAGTACAAATATAGCTGTCCCAAATATTACTATTTATTGAAGTTGTGCGAACCCTAATTAGGCATGTGGTAACCATACCGGTCTCTCCGTGTATTTATTGGCTTGACAAAATAGAACGTCTCTAGATGCAAAGAGCACATTGTAGATTAGGCTTTAGATCGCCTCGTGAGAAAACGAAAGAGAAACTCTGTTTTAATTCTATTCAAATAAATTCAAACTTCAATGTCGCAGAAGCGGATGCAATCTTTATCTTCACTCGCGGCGATCGAAACCGATCGATACCGTTACTGACGTAAGAATTTATGTATCGCAAGATACCTGAGAATAATGTATGATATCTAAGCCGGACGCTTTTGCTATGCAAATTTTTCAACGACTTTTTATATCTTTGCGGAGGATTAGCATTTAATTGCATAAACGTAGTCACGCGCGACGTCAATTTCGACCGCGTTAATCTTGCCACTTTTCTTACCGGCGACTTTCTTCACGAAGACAGGCTCCGGGTTAATGTTCACGCTCAGTTCCTTGTCATTGACCTTGTCGATGCTGTCGAATTTCAGAGCATAGCTGTCCTTGCAATTCGACGCCGTCACACGTGGCATAGTGAAAGCTTCGTCCCTGATTCTTCTAATATCGTTCGCCAGACTGTCATTGCTACTCTTGTTACTGTCACCCGACATGAGACCGGTGCCGTTCATGAACGCCGGCTCAATCTCCGAGTCCGGAAAAGCGACCATATCTGAAAGGTTCAATTAAACGGATGCCTCATTCCGATCTTTATTCGAGATCCTCGCGACATCCTAGAATTTAATGTTTGAAATGACGAGAAAGTCACACGAATGGAGAACATAGTTTTTGAGAAGGCAAATCGTTCAAGTATTATTTTGTTGCAATAAAATTTGAAAAGTGACAATAGCTAATCTACTATAACAATACAATAGCCGAGCAAACGGTAACAATTAATTATGAAATTGATCGAAATTTACATCATAACAGTATAATATAATATATGCACGTAATTCAGAGTTAAAAATGTATTACACATGTAAAACTCTTGTGTTTTATCGCAAGTGTCCACTTTCGTCGTTTCTCTTGGATAAACATAAGACTGCAATTGAGAAACATAAAAATTCACTCACTTTTAAAGTCTAAAAATTGCAATTGAGAAACATGAAAATTCACTCACTTTTAAAGTCTAAAAAATAGCTCCGTTTTCGATGCAGAATACGGAAACATGTATTAGAATAAGAATTATGATGAACAAGTATTATGAATAGCAAGTACCTTGGTCCAATTTGTAAGTTTATAATTGCAAAAACGAGGTAAAGTAACGGGCGATTTTGAATACGGTCGAACTTCGGTGTTTCGCGGAGGTTTCGCGGTGTGATTTTGTTTCTCGATGTATTTCGTAAAATTCAATTTATA